GAGCTGTGCATGGAAGGCCGGGGCATCCCTGCCCCTGAGGAAGAGAGGACGCGGCAGGGTTGGCAGCGGTACTACTTCGAGGGCATCAAACAGACCTTTGGCTATGGCGCACGCTTATTTTAGGGCCCGCAGCAGGGGGCTACAGCCTGCCCAACACTTCAGTCCAGCCCTCTCCTGACTGGGCTTGTGACTCAACAGGATTGAACCATCCCAACCACTAACTTGGGGCCGGGGCCCCTTCCCTCCGTGTATACCTTGGGTTTGTGCATGTTTTCTGCTGGGTGGGATCAGAGGGTGACTTCTCTTTTATGTGTACATATGCTAAATAAACGTAATTTAAAAAACGTGCATGTCTGGAACCTGTGTTGATTGGGTAGCTGGTGCTAAGAATTCTCTTGATTTTGAATAAAAAAAAAACAGACGGGTTTCATCTTTATTCTAGGTAAGTGTAGGTAATTAAGAGGCATGAAGGGAGCCTGCTTCTCACCACCAAGCGTTCCTGAGCTAGTCTCCTCACTGAGGGAAAAGTAGGGGAGGGTTGGTGCTCTGGGGTAAACAGTGCCAACAGACATTACTGCTGGTGGAGGTGGCGTCCTGGGCTTGCCAGTCTCTGTGCCCTCTTATCCTCTCCCAGGGTAGAAGAGATCACCAGGTGGTTTGAGATGTGGAAAGAGATTCCCACCCTGGGGGAGAGGAACCGTGGACCTTGGGCTGACAGCTTCTGTTTATTGAGCAGTTATGATGTACCAGACACTATGCTATGCAGTTGCCTTGCATTTGCTCCTTTAACCCCCATGACAGGCCTGTGAAATAGATACTACCATTGTTGCTGTTTACAAGAACCTAAGCCTTGGATTTCTTTAGTAATATCCCAGACCCTACAACGGGTATTTAGCAGTTGGGATTTAGAACAAGGACCATAGCTGGAGAGCTAGTGCTCGAGTCTAAACCACTATGTCTACTGCCTTGTCACTGGGTTCATCCCCACGAAGCTGTGCATTTCTAGTACGTTAGGCATCCATCCTGGAGGAGCAAATTCCAGGCCTCTTAGTACTCGTAGAAACAGGAAGAAAGAAATGTCCTTGGTAAGAGTATTTTTACATATGTACCTGGTTCCGTTAAACAAGTTTACTGAGCACCGACCAAGTACTGGGGACATGTTCTAGTGGGGTTTTCAGACTGCCGCATTGCAGGAGAGGTAACCACCTGAACAGGGAGGGCCACTTTCCTGGACACGCCCTGCTCCGGCTTCGTGCACCCCAGCATGAGTCAGTGCCCTCGAATCCAGACACGACCTCCTGCGGCTACAGCCAGTTCCTTCATCTATTTTTGCCTGTTTTATTAGCTGGCAGCAAGGCCTGCAGGCTCAGCCTACCCACGTGACTTGGCCAAAATGTATTTAAATAAAGCAGAAAATCACTACTGATCTGGATAATTTAGACCCTCCAAAAGCCACCTCTGGCTTGAAATTCTCAAGTGAATGTGGGACTGAACTAATTTGCATTTAATTCAGCATTATATCTGCCTCCTGGGGGTCCAAAAAGACGCCTTTTGATAAAGAACCTGGACTGGCTTGAATCAAATCTATAGGCCCCTCCTAACACAGACCAGTGACAAAAAAGAGCCCTTCACACTTGGCTGGAGAGTTACCAACTCCAGAATACTTAGAAAAAGATCTGAAGTTTAGAAACACCTTAATAAAAACAGAAGCACCAGGCGAAGTACCTGTCACGTGACATGCTCAGGAACAGTGCCCAACCCCAGCACTGATGGCTGTTCCAATTTTCACCACTGCCATTTTACTGACAGCGTTTCGGTTAGCCATCTGAGCCTGAAACACAGTATGACGTAGCTAAAAACAAAACTGTGGACTTGGCTGAACTTGGGTTTGAATTGTAAATGTGCCACCTCCTAATAAATGGGCAAATTTCCTCATCTGTAAAATGGGTATAATAGGTACCTTGTGAAAGCATTAGAGATGATGAACGTAGAAGCACTGGCACCTGGTGGCTTTCCGCAAATGGTACCTGCTGACTTCTGGACTCATAAGCCCAAGCATTTTCCCTTGAGCAAGAACTATGTTGAAAAGCTCGTCAATTGGCCAAATTGCAAAGCCTAGGCCAAGGGCTCACCTCACCTAAGAACCACCTGGGGAACCTGTTAAATGCAGCAAAGTGGACTCCACCGCTAGAGAGTCTTAGTGGATGGGGGTGTGGCCCATGAACTTACATTTTAATAAACATCCCAGGTGATATTGACATCAGGGATGCATTTTGAGAAGCACCTCAACATGTTAAGAAAATCCAATTGTAATGGAGGCGCCAAAGCAGCACATTTGGGTCCCTTTTGTTAATAATGGGACAAAGGATCTGAAACATCCTGTCTTCCAGGAGACGCAGGAGGTCAGCCGGATCTGGCAGGGTTTGTACTATTGGTTATTTTGAACTCTAGTAAGAATTCAGTTTGACCAGTCTTGCCAGCCTGGGATCCTCTATGAGGTAAGCCAGAGGGGGAACAATTGGGCAAAACCATCCAGGTGGCCGGAGCAGCTAAGTTAGAAACAGCGGTAGTGCCCGTGCTTGGAAGCATGGCCGCGGACGGCTCCTGGTGTTCGGGACAGGAGGAACAGCTACTCCAGCCAGCAACGTGACAAACACCGGGCCAGAACGGGGGGGAGGGGCCCCCTCCTGGCTCTCATACTAGCCACTCCTAAAATCCTCCCTTCAACAGGGTCATTGACCCCTCCATTCCTGTTTCTCCTCAGGCACAGGTGTTCCCTAAGCCCGCAGCACCTGCACAGCATCTCTTTCTCCTTTGTAGAGTTTGAATGAACACTATTTTATAGCTCACCTACTCCCCAGCCCCCTTCAAAGATCCTTTCCAGCCCCCTTTTCTTTAGTTTCTCTCATCTGTGGCCTGACATGGTAGCAATTTAGCATGACGCTTAGATTACAGATTAAAAATGCGGCTGGCTGGGCCGGCCCTGTGGCTTAGCGGGTAAGTGCGCGTGCTCCGCTGCTGGCGGCCTGGGTTTGGATCCGGGGCGCGCACCGACGCACCGCTTCTCTGGCCATGCTGAGGCCGCGTCCCACATACAGCAACTAGAAGGACGTGCAGCTATGACATACAACTATCTACTGGGGCTTTGGGGGAAAAATAAATAAATAAAAATTAAAAAAAAAAATGTGGCTGGCTACATTCAGTTTGGGTAATAGATGACCACTAGGTATCGATTAAATTTAGACTAAGTGTCAAGGTTAAGTTATATAAGAAAGGAGGGGAATTAGCAGTTTCCTGTGAAAACAGATGCTGGGATATCTCTATCTTGCTATTAAAAAAAACTTTCTGCTAAAAAAATAATTAAAACATGCCCAAGCTAATTGTATTGAATTCCCCAGGCAAGAGAAAGGGAGTGAATTTGCTCCCATCTGGTGACCCGAAATCCCGCCCTCTCTGACCCTGCAATATTCTAGCTGCCTCAGAGTATTTTTAGACTGTGGTTCAGGACCAGACTAATAAATTTACCTCCAAATGTGATGGTAATCGGAAACATCTGGCTCTCTGAGCGTCTCCGGGAGGCGACTCTGGACACACTTGCCTCATTCTACTTCCTGAAGTGTCTCTGTCCGTCCCCAAATGCCAGGAGTCATGGTGGAGAGTTTAATAAGGGTACCAACCAAGGCAGGGTACAGGTCCCCCTCTGTCATCTTACAGGTGTGGTCCTCTGGACAACTCTGCGTTGGATCCCTTTGGGGCAACTTACTTGGGGAAGTGGGGCCACTTCCTCGTACAGTAAATGCAGTTTACTTCTCTGACCAAAGAACTTAGAGAAAATGCACCCCTGAGGTCCAGCCAGCTCCTCTCTGCCTCCAGGCAGCCCTTCCCAAGGTGGAGTAGGGATAACTCACGTTCCCAGTCTAACCTCTACACCCCAGGAGCTCTGCCTGCCCAGCTGGGTTAGGTAGTCACAGACGCTACCCACGGAGCTTGGCTTGGGCTGTAAGCAAGGGCTCCTTACACCCCTCTGCTCTGCTGGGGCCCAAATTCTTTATCAGACAGAATTTGAAAATAAAGTGCTTTATTGCTGAGGATCCCAGAGAGCTTCAGGGCAGCTGTCTAGGGTTTAGGACTGAAGTCTCCTACCTTTCAGAGGCTTTTGTGAACAGGGACAGTTGGGACTCCAGCATTTCAACCCCATAGAAGGCAAGGAAGTGTGTTTGGGGGGTGAGGGAAGGCAGGCAGGAGGCACGAGTTGTGCTGGGAGAGTCGATTATGTGCCTCTCTTCCCAACTCTGAGCTCTGTGCATCCAGTGACATCATGTTGGGAGCCTGAAGTAGGCGATGGTGGGAGTATTTACACCACGGAAATTGCCCAAATGCTACAAATCAGCACCCGCCCCCCGCTGCAAAACTGGTTTACCAGCTCACCACAGGAACATGACACATCCTCCTGAGCTGGTTCTGAGCCCACCCCAAGCCCGGCTGTTGTGCCCATATGGGGCAGTGCCATCTCCCAGCCCCACACATTCTTAGAATCTGGACTGAAGAGGTGGGCTGGACAAAGAAAGGGACCTGAACTGCGTGATCCATTTCCCATCTGGAGCCTTCAGCCGTAGACTAAAGTGGAGTCCACCAAAAGGCAGCTTGGAGCTGAGAAAAACCCTCCTATGCAGTGCTCCCAGCAGGGGTGGGGCAAGAGAGCCATGTGCAACCACCCAGAGGTAAGGAGGGCTGGTCACCCAGGGCTGGATGTCAGCCTGACAAAGGGCAGCTGTGGGGCCAGATGAAAGGAGTGACCCTCGGGGCTGGGGTGAGTGATTCACCGCAGGTCCTGGGAATCAGGATGTGTGTGGAGAGCCCAGCTCACAGGTGTGAGCAGAGCCAGGGCAGAAGAGGCCAGGAAGAAAACGAGTGGCCAGGCTGGGACAGCACCTCCAGCAGGCAGGAGAAGGAGGCCCCTCCCCCACATTTCCCCTGCACCCCCAGGGACCCTGGGGGCTGAGCTCCCTCCCCTCACCCTGGGCTCTATATACCCTTCAACCTTCTCCCCAACCCCACAGATACCTGGGGTGCTGACCTGCCTCCAGCCCACAGGCCCCAGACCAGCCTCACAAGGGGAGCCCTTGTGCTCACCCAGTCTGGGCAGGGGCGGAGTGAGGAGCCTGCAAGGAAAGTTCTAGCAAAGCAGCACCCTCATTAGTACTCCTTGGCCTCCTGCAACTGGGCCAGGTACTCCTCCTCCGGAGGGTTGTCGGCGCAGGCCCGGCCGTTGTTGGGGGGCCGCACAGCGTGGTAGCGACTCCAGTCCCCCTTACACAGGATCCAGGGCAGCATGTCCACCTTGAAGTGCAGCTCAGGCGAGAAGTCGGTGCTGACGAGGTCGGGGGCGCCAGCGCCCTTGCCCCGGGTCAGCAGCCGGCTGCCCGCGTCGTAGCAGCAGTGCTGGGCGGCCAGGGTGCTGCTTTCCACGGACAGCAGGGAGCGCAGGCAGAAGCGGGCCGTGGGCTGGTAGACGTCCAGGCGCTCCCGCGGGCCACTGGCATCCCTCCACCGGAAGCTGCGGCCCTGGTGCTCGTCCCGCAGGCTCACGGCACTGTACACGGCCTCCAGCGGGTATGCACACGGGCAGCTGGGCAGGTCCCGCAGCACCCGGCTCACGTACTCGGCTAGGGAGTCACTCTTGCAGTTCAGCCACTTCTCACAGCTGTCCACATCTACAGAGGGCAGGGAAGTGTGGGAGGGGAGCCAGTCAGCCCCTTGGCGAGTGGGGGCTGAGCAAGGGCCAATACACGGAGAGAGAAGGCCCACGCCCCAGCTGTGCAAAGGTGTGGCTTGGTAGGGCCTTAGGGGCAGGAGGGAAGGACCCACATCAAAGCTGGGGGCAGTCCAACCAGGTGACAGGGGCGACCACACACCACCCAGTCAACCTGAAGCAAGAGACCACGGCTCAAAGTGGACACTGGCCAAGGGGCTGGAGAAGGGACCTGGAGGCCCACTGCTGTGTCAGGTATGGTCCCTTTAGACGCTGGATAGTGAGAAAGATCCTGGGATCTTGGGGAAGGAGCTGGGGTGGCTTAGGGGCAGGGAGAGCAGTTTGAACCAATCGGTAAGAACCACTTGCTCTTAACTCTACGTTTCTCAGACTCAGTCTCTCTGGGCTCCCTGTAGCCCCCTCTGTCTATGCTGCCCTCTTCCCCTCTCTCTGTCTTGGGAAATGTGGCCTCTGACTCTGGCCACACAGAACAAATTGCTCCTTCCTTTTTCCTCCAGACCTTTTGGGAACACTCTGCGGTGCAGTGCTCAAGTCGGTCATGTGTGTCTCTCCCGAGACCTGAGCTCCTTGAGGGCAGGTACCGGGCCACAGTCTTCTGGGAATCCCCTGCCCTGCACAGTGCCAGCTGCACAATACCAGCTCAGTGAGCTTCTGCGGTGTTGAGCATAGGCCCCCTCTGCAAGGGGGGCTGTCGGCAGCTGCCTGCCTCCTTGCGGGGTGCAGGTGAGACCAAAAGATACAGATGCAGAGTGTGCTGGGGGAAGCAAGCCCTTCTCTAAGCCGCTGGAAGGAGCAGTCCTGGAGTTCTGGACCCTGACCTGTTTCTGACAGCACCACCTCCCCAGATAGAGCCTGTCCAGGAGCCTCCAAGGGTGACCGGGGAGTGGAAGCCAGAATGTCCCCATCCCATCCTGCTGACAGGGAGAACACGCCCCATCAGATGATCTCCAAGCTCTGGTTCCCATCAAGACCTTCTTCCCAGCAGGAATATCAGGCTGGGAAAGGGCAATGGGCCTGGCTAGCAGGGGCTCAGAAATGCTAGGGCCTCCTTGCCGGGGAAACTAACCTTCCACCTGGAAGATGTACTCTCTGCCTCAATGGACGGAGGCGAGATGGTTGCCCGTGCAATGATGCTCCACCCTCCCGAGAGAGGTTGTCCCCCACACCCCCAGGGGCAGGGCCTAGCCCCCGACTGACCTGGGCCAAGCATATCCGTAGCATTGTGGGCCAGGAGCTTCCACCCCTCACTGGGGAAGCCCAAAGGGTCCTCGTCCTTGGTGCCTTTGGGAAGAGAGGAGGCCAGGCTGGTGGCGCCCCAGGGCACCTCTGTGCTTCTGATGGGGAAGCCCAGCCCTCACTAGGCTCTTGGTGCCCACAGCATCTGGGACAGGCCTGGGACAAGGCAGGACCACCATGTTTGGAAGCCTCCTGCATCCCCTCTTCTGAGCCCACCTCTTGTACAATTGCCCACATTCCCAGGGGACCAAGCCCAGAGTGTAAGCCACTCCCTAGGCAGGAGCTGGGGCTCGTCTCACCAGGACAGGGGGGCAGGTCACAGGCACGGGACTCGGTGGCAGCGCAGGCGTAGCCACAGGGCCGAGTCCTCCATTGGCTGCTGCTGCCGCAGCTCCCACTGCAGGGAGACCAGGGGCTCCACTCCTCTTGAAGCTCATAGCCTGGGGCGAGGCAGGGAGCCAGGGTGAGTGAGCACAGCCCACAGGGTGCATTGGTGCAAATGAGCAAAAGGCACCCCTTCCACGGGAGGATGCATCCCGTGCCAGATCTACCAGCCTAGTGGACAAAGCATGCACTGGATTTCAGCACCCCTCCCCCGCCACTCATCCCCTCAGCTGGGTACCCTCGCACAGTGAATACCAACAGAGAATTCCCCACAGAGACAGCACAAGCCCAGCTGCCCACTCTGGGGCTGGAGGCCACCTGAACCCTGTCAGTGTGACCTTGGGCAAGTCCCCTACATCTCTGAGCTATAGTTTTCACGTCAATCAAAACCAAGGGTGACAATACCTCTCTGGCATTGGGTATTAAAGAATGTCCCTGCTGCCCACATTAGGGACCCGGTCCTGGTCTGAGGGACCTGAAATACACCATGAGTACACTCGCAGCCCTCTGGCTGTGCAGGGCCTGACCCGGGGGCTCTCTGTGGAACCCCTGAAGCGCTGACCAGCCACCACTCTCCTTGCTTCCCAGGCAGGCTCGAGCAGGCTGGCACCGAGAGTTTAAGGAAAATTAACGGAAGAAAAGCTGAAAGTCATGAACGTTCTGCCTGTTAGTTTACATTATTTTGGTGAATTGGGAAAAGCCTGCTATGACTTAGTCTTAATCATAGGACCTCCATCCAATGACGATACACCAGGGCTCCGGGGAGGAGGGCTGCGGCTCTGCCTGAAACATGTCTGCACCCGGGCAAACCTGAACGGCAATATGCAAAAACAAACACGGCTGTCAGGGGGCTGGCAGGCTTGAGGTGATATTTTCTGAACAGTCTACGCTGTTATGTTGTTTTCTAATAAAAATAGCCAATACTTAGTCTACTATATGCTGGCGCTTTAAATGTATTAACTCGCTTAATACCGTCTACACCCAATCCTACACACTAAGAGTTGTGCCATCCTCCATTTTATACAGGAAGGAACTGACGCACAGAGAGGTTAAGGAACTTGCCCAAGGTCACTCAGCTGGTAAGTGGCAGAGCCAGGACTCAAACCCACACAGTCTGAAAATGAGGTCAGTTGTGAGTGGTGGGATTTATAATATTTCCCAATTTGTTGGAAACCGATAGATATGAATATATATAATATTAACAAAAGTCTATTTTGCTTAGGGGATCTCAGGACTGTGGGGAAGGTCAAATGTTTGGGAAAAAAAACTTTGCAAGCGAGGGGTAAAGTTATTTGGCTGATGACGGTATTAGCACAGGCCTAAGCTCCTGGCCTCCCAGCTACCCTGCCCAGGAAGCTCTGGGACCTCTCTCCACCCAGGACCTCCAGGAGCAGCAGCCGGAGATGCCAACACGGGGACACTCACCGTAGCTGTCTGGGTCCTTGAAGGCCCAGTCCCCAGGGGCCAGCCAGCCCTGCTCCCAGCTGCCTGCGGCCCCACTGACCTCAGGCTCCTCCTCCTCCTCCTCTTCGTCATCGTTGCCCTCCTGGTCCTTGTTCTCACTGTACTCTGCAGGGTAGTCCTCCTCCTCCTCCTCCTCCTCCTCCTCCTCCTGTTCCCCTGGGGCTCTGCCCTTGAGACCGGTTCCCCCTTCCTCACCCTCCAGGTAGCCCCAGAAGAGGGGCCAAAAGAGCTTCTTGGCCGGCAGCCAGCTGGGGGCACCCTGGGGCCAGCGATTGCTGGGCTCGGCCAACAGGTCCATCTCCACCTCGGCCTGGGGGTCCTCCGCCACCTCGATGGTCACCTGCAGGGAGACAGACGCCAGGCCAGCCAGTGAGGGAGGGCTCGGAGCCAGACTTCAAGGAAAGGGGAGGTGACAAGTGCGGGGACAGGGGCAGCAGGGAGAGGCCCAGCCTCTCCTCCAAACCAGCTCATTCTCTTGGCCAACCTTCTTGGCCTCCCAGGGCACATGGTTCACAGTTTAAGACCTGGCTGTGCAGCGGAATCCCCTGGAGATTTCTGACCCACTGATCCCACCCCGGACATGGATTTAACCGGTCTGAGGTGGCACCGGGCACAGCGACTCTAATATGTGCCAGAGTGGAGACCCACTATTTTAAGAGAAGCTGGCTTTGAATTCTGGCTCCCCAGCCCAGAGGCTGCCCAGCCTCAGGGGCCACTAACAGCCCTGCGCCACCATTTCCTTGTTGTAGGGCCAGAAAATGAGAGCAAGGAGGGCAAATCCCCACAGCAGCCCTCGGGGGAGCTCTCTTCCACCACACTGTGGACAGGAAATAAGGAACATGAAGTCATTTATAGGAAAGTGAACTTTAAAAACATCATTTTGGGTTATTATAAAGTAATAGGAGGTCACTGAACAAAATTTGGGGAAAAAAACCCAGCAAACCACAAAGAAGAAAATGAAAATCACCCCTATTCCATCACTGACATAACATTTTGGTGATTAACCTTCCAGGTTTTATACACATACACACACATATACAAACGCATATACTTTTTTTTTTTTTTTTTAAAGATTTATTTATTTATTTTCCCCCCAAAGCCCCAATAGATAGTTGTATGTCATAGTTGCACAGCCTTCTAGTTGCCGTATGTGGGACGTAGCCTCAGCGTGGCCGGAGAAGCGGTGCGCCGGTGTGCGCCCGGGATCCGAACCCGGGCCGCCAGCATCAGAGAGCACGCACTTAACCGCTAAGCCACAGGGCCGGCCCCAAACGCATATACTTTTAAACAATTTTAGAATGTTATGTATGTTCTAGGGGCCGGCCTGGTGGCGCAAGCAGTTAAGTGCGTGCGTTCCGCTGCGGCAGCCCGGGGTTCACTGGTTCGGATCCCAGGCACGCACCGACGCACTGCTTGGCAAGCCATGCTGTGGCGGCGTCCCATATAAAGTGGAGGAAGATGGGCACGGATGTTAGCCCAGGGCCAGTCTGCCTCAGCAAAAAAAGAGGAGGGTTGGCATGGATGTTAGCTCAGGGCTGATCGCCTCACAAAAAAAAAAAAAAAAAAAGAATGTTATGTTCTACACTTTTGTGGCCTTTTCTCTTTTGGTGAAAGTATTTTACAAACTGTAGATGCTACACAAAAATGCAGAATTATTACCATTAGGGTTTAGGACTAGCCGTGGAGTATGTAACTGGAATTCCAGCACCCCTCTAGTTTCCTCTCCCTTTAAGCCCCTCTGGTGGGCAGTCCCCCACCCCACCAGCCCACCCCATTCAGTCCTCAACCACTTCTTCAGGGGCCTGCAGTAAGGCATTGGGCCTGGGCAAGATCAGACCTTCAGGCTTTTTCCACAAGGCTTCCCCCCACATTCCCAAATCCCCTGTAGCTCATGAAGCATTCTCTGCTCGCTTGGTCCTTGCAACAGCCCTGCCAGGTTGATGCAACAGCCCTTGCTATAGACTAGGAAACAGAGGCCCCAAGAACCATGTGACCTGCTCACGGTCTGCAGCTAGACAGTGGAGGAGCACGTACTCCTTCCACTACTCCACAGGGACAGCATGGGCAGTCAACATCTCAGACCCCACACGGGACCCCTGCCCTCCAGGGAATACAGGATGGGGATGCCTGACCTCAGAGCTGAGCCATTCAGCCCAGCTCCTCTCCAGGTGTCCGCTGGGCCCAGGGCCCTTCTGAAGCTCTCACCTGGATATTGGGGTTTGGGGCACTCAAGTCTGTGTTGGCCAATCCTGGCAGCTTCTGCAGCTCCAGCAGCAAGGGAGTGTCTTCCAGGGTCCCGGGAGGGGCTGCCTTGTTGGGGGCCAGGGCTGCTGGCTCAGGGAGAGCCCGGCGCCTGTGCTGGTGTGGCCCTGCCTGGAGGTGGGTTCTGGGGAGCAGTGGTGTCCCCTCCTCTTCTCTAGGAGAGCTGGTATCTGGGGAGGCCAAGACCTGACGGAGAGAGGGGGAGGTGGGGTGACTGAGGTCAGGGCTCCCCCAACGTAGACCCAAAATAGGCCAGTCAGGGGGGATTCAGGAGCCCTGGGGTCTGCCCAGGTCACACACTTGCCCTGGGACTGCGTATCCAAACACGCCCTCACAGAGTGAGGCTGTGTCCACAAAGCCCTTGGACAAACGGTGCCAACACGAGGCATGAGAGGAGTGTTAAATCAGGTTTCCACATATGGAAGAAACACAACCCAACCTCCTCATTTTACAGATGAAGAAACTGAGGCCCAGAGGGAAGCGAGTTGTTTGAGGTAGTGGTTCCAAAGCGCAGTTTGCAGACCACCTGCCTCAGAATCCCCCGGGGCTCTTGTCAGAGAACGGACACTGGGGCCCTCATGTCAGGGCAGGAAGCCACAGGAAGGCCTACAGGGGAGCAGGTGGCAGGCCTGGGCCCTGCCCCTCAGCACGTTCTCTTGCCACCTGGTCCTCCCAAGCCGTCCACGTGGGGGCTGTACTCCTTAGCATCTCTGACCATAGCTACCTTCCTCCACCTGCCCACCCAGGGCCTGGCCCCTTTTCCTATTCCAGGCTGTTTGTACGGCTGTCTGTCTTCCAGTTAATTCCCTCCACCAGCCAGTGCCCACAGGGTCCACACAGAGACTGTCTTTGCTTCAGCTCAGATAGTAAGTGGATGGGCCGGCCCTGTGGCTTGGTGGTTAAGTGCGCGCGCTGCGATGCTGGCGGCCCGGGTTCGGATCCCGGGTGTGCATCAAGGCACCACTTCTCTGTCCAGCCTGAGGCCGAGTCCCACATACAGCAACTAGAAGGATGTGCAGCTGTGACAGACAACTATGTACTGGGGCTTTGGGGGCAAAAAATAAATAAAAATCTTTAAAAAAAAAAAAAAAAAAAAAAAAAGATAGTAAGTGGAAGGCAGATCCTGGCTGTCCCTGCCTCCTGCTTCCGGGGTCACCTGCTTAGACTGTGGTGTCTGGGGTCTCATCAGCCGTCCACCTACCTCTAGGCTGCAGCCATTGCCCAGGTCTCTAGGCCAGGGCAGAAAGAACACCATCCAGAGCCCCCCTTATGAGCCTCCGGGGCTGGGAGCCTGTGGACCCTGCCCCACACAGGCCTCAGCCTTGACCCCACCTCCCATCTCACACCCGGGGCAGTGTGGTATGGCTGAGAAAACATGGGTTCTGGAGAGTCAGATCAGCTTGGGTTAAAATCCCAGCTCTGCCTCTTACTAGCTCATTCAACTTGATCTGCAAAAGGAGGATAATAATTCCTACCTGGAAAGATTGTCAGAATTTTATTTATCAAACACTTTCTCAGCATCTACTGTGTGCCAAGCACTATTCTAAACACTTAATCACTCACTTCATCCTCCCAACAACCCTCAGAGGTAGGCGCTAGCTGGATCCCCACTTTAACAATGGAAACTAAAGCACAGAGAGGGCCAGCAACTCAGCAAGGTCACACAGACGTTTAGTGGTAGAGCCACACAGGCAACCTGGGCACAGAGCCCACGCTCTTAGCCATCATGCTCTTACACTATAGGTGAGAGCCCTGAGTCCCCTTCACAAATCAGGGGCTTAAGGAGTCTAGTTTTTCTCTCTCTCATTGACTCTTTTCTTGGGTTGGAAAAGAGATTCAGAATCCTCTGTCTCTCCCTTTTGACCTCCCCTTCTGTGGTTCCCGGATGCCTGGCTCCAAGGCTCCTGTACTAATCACGTGACCCCAGGGCAGCTGTGGGCCCATCTCAACCTGGCCCCAGAGTCTCTCACTGAGTCAGAGTGCTCTGGTCTAGGTGGCCAGAGTGGATGGGCACGTGAGTAATGGAACAACTCAACCCCCTCACTGACCAATCTTGGAGGCCGGGGACATCCCCATATGCTGCCTTCCTGGCAGCTCCCACCCACAATTCCACCAAAGGCCCAACTGTCCCTGTGACTTGGCTTCACAATTCCTCTGTCTGCAGCCTCTGGGGCACAGGGACAGGCAGCCTCTGGGCAGCAGGAGTTCGGGGTCATGCAGCCTTTCTGGCTGATCTGGATGCCCCCAGCCCGTGGGCAGGTGGCTAAGCAGGGGTTCTCATCTGGGGACTTTAGGCAATGTCTGGAGACAGGTGTGGTTGTCACAATTGGAAAGGGGTGCTACTGGCACCTAGTGCATAGAGGCCAGAGGTCCTACAATGCACAGCACAGCGCTCACAACAAGAATGACCCAGCCCAGAATGTCAATGGTGCTGCAGTTAAGAAACCTTGCTCTATCATGGGAACCCTAATGCTGGTGGGAATGCAAACTGGTGCAACCTTTATGGAAAACAGTATGGAGATTCCTGAAAAAATTAAAAATAGAACTACCTTATGATCCAGCTATCCTACTACTGGGCATCTACCCAACAAACCTGAAATCAACAATCCAAAGAGGCTTATGCACCACTATGTTCATCGCAGCATTATTCACTATAGCCAAGACATGGAAGCAACCCAAGCATCCCCTGACTGATGATTGGATCAAGAAGATGTGGTATATATATACCATGGAATACTACTCATCCATAAAAAAAAGACAAAATCGTCCCATTTGCAACAACATGGTTGGACCTGGAGGGTATTATATTGAGAAAATAAGCCAGAAAGACAAACAGTGCATGATTCCACTCATATGTGGAAAATAAACCAACACACGGACAGACAGAACTGTTTGGTGGTTATCAGGGGCTAGGGGGTGGGGGGTGGGCACAAGGGCTGGAGGGATGCACTTACATGGTGACTGACAAAGGATAATGTACAACAAAAATTTCACACAAAAAAAGAAACCCTGCTCTAGAGTCGGGCTGCCTGGGTCTGAATCCTGGTGGTGGCTGGCATCTGAGCTGTGGGACCCTGGCAGTGGACATAACCTCTGTGAGTGTCCTTATCTGTAAAATGGGAACAGTGATGGGAAAGAGCTGGTATCCAGCAGGTGCTCAGAAAGTTCCTTTCCCGCCTTCGTACCCTCTCTGCTCCCTGGTGCCCAGTTGGACCAGACTATGAGCACAGGCCACAGACAGCCCTGGCTAAACACAGCCACATATGCTGCCCTTCTCTGGGGCTGCTCCTGGAGCCTCCTGCCCTCTGCATCAGCCCCCGGGGACTCCTGGGAGGGGGCGGGGGCGGGGGGGACACAACACACCATCCAGTCTTAGTGTGGGTTGCCTCAGAAGCCAACCCTGAGACAAGGACTCAAGGGCAAGTGGTTCCTTGGGAAGGTGATCCCAGGAGACACGATGGGGGGTGGGGGAGCGAGTCAGGGAGGGGAGGCAGCTCATAAAGATGTTCCGTCAATCTAGTGACCACGGTGGGCGACTGAAGCTCAGTCCCACCGGAAGCCTCAGTTACCCCCTGGGGGGAGTTGGGCTATTTACCTCAACTCTGCCAGTCATTGGTTGTGAGCTGCTGGGGTGGGGAGAGGATTTGCTCCCCAGGCACTTGGGGCTTGCCTTGTACAGCTCAGGGCACACCTAGTGCCAGCGAAAGCCCTCAGGACGGGATACTGGCAAGTGAAGTAAGGCCTGAGAGTCTACGGGCAGAGCCCAGGCCTGTGACCATCACCTGAGCACATCCTCCAGACCAGGCCTGCCCTGGGCCCTTTACGTGCCTCTGTCACTCACTCCAACTAGAGGGTGAGCCTGGAGCCAGAAGGAATGCTCATCTGCTTTGTTCACGCTGCATCCCATGCCTAGCACAGTGCCCGGTGCCCTGCAGCAGCTCAAGAAATCATTGCTGAGTGACTGAAGGCCAGCGACCCTGAGGGGCCAGTCTGGCTATCTCTATGGTAACGATGAGGCTATGGCGGCTCAGAGAGGGCAAGGGATTTATGTAAGGTTTCAAAGGTTACAATATTGGAGCTCAGGTTCAAACTCAGCTCTGTCTGCTCGCAGCGCCCATGCATCGGTGCACACACACGTGCACGGACACGCTCGTGATGATAACCCTTTATCGGCAAGCCCCTCCACATCCACAAAGCACATCCACTTTCACCATCTTGTCTGGCAGCTGGATGTGGTGATAACCAGTGCAGGCTGGAGGCCACATGGCCTGGGTTCAAATCCCAACGTGTACACTTACCAGCTGTGTGACCTTGGGCAGGTTCCTTAATCTGCCTCAGTTTCTCCCTCTGTAAATAAGGAAATGCAGTCCCTGTCTTGTAGGGTTGTTGAGTTAGAAAGCCGCCTCCAACATGAAGCATGCAATGACTGTTACCTAAAGGTGGTAACAGATGGTTCTCAGAGGGAGAGAGGAGAGAACCCCTCTCGCCAGGCACTGTACTGGCTCTTCACATCTTAGCTGGTGTGAAGACCCCCACCTCTGAGGCAGGATCTCAGGGCAGGTGCATTCCCATGATGTTCTGAAGCAAATTCTGAGGCTCCAGCCTGTTTAAGAACACCTGTCCTGGGGCTGGCCACGTGGCATAGCGGTTAAGTGCGCGTGCTTCGCTGCTGGCAGCCCGGGTTCGGATCCCGGGCACGCACCGAGGCACCCCTTGCCAGGCCATGCTGTGGCGGTGTCCCACATAAAGTGGAGGAAGATGGGCACAGATGTTAGCCCAGGGCCAGTCTTCCTCAGCAAAAAGAGGAGGATTGGCATGGATGTTAGCTCAGGGCTGATCTTCCTCACACACACACACACAAAAAAGAAATGTCTGAAAGGCTCCTTAGGGAGGCAGTAACGAAAAACAATGTGGACAAACACTGGTCCACGGAGACCCCCTAAAGTGCGGCCGGGGGCCCTGTCTCCCCATTCCCTCTGGAGGGCCTCAGCAGCCTGGGCACTGAGAGCGACCCAGGCTCGGCTCTCACTCATTCCCCACTCTCCTGCACCCGGCGGGGCCCTCACTGTTCTCATCTGGAAAATGGGAAGAACGACTCTGGCTTCCTCCTAGAATAGCTCAGTGCAGGGAAGGAGCCAGGACCCCACCAGCCGCCTGCTCCTGCATACCCCCAAAACAAGTCTGGCGGGTTTTGTCCTCCTGGGGATGAACGTCCACGCCAGTCCAGGGGGAAATGAGCTGGACCGTTGACCCCTGGTGACGGGAGCCACAGGTGTGGCCAGACCGTGGTTTCTCCCCATGGCTAACGCCAGTCTTCCGTCTCACTCCTGTCTTACATCCACCCTCAAGGCCCACTCACAGGCCACCAAGAAAGTGCCCTCCTACGTCTTAGCGACCTCTTCTGCTTTTCCAACTGCATAACAATATAAACGGCCCTGGCTGACCACTCCCACCGAGCAAGTTGAAGGACCCCACTGACTACCTCACCTTGTCTCAATTCACACGCAAAGGGACTCAAATCCTTTGCAGATGTGATTTAAGAGGCTGCACCAGGGGACCATTTGACAGGCTGAAACTCAGCAACTCGGGCCCGCAACGCTGCAAAGAGCCGCGTTTCTCTCTCCCCTCCCGACTTCTCTCGCGACGCGCACCTGGACTGGCGCTGCAGGAGAGGTTCGCTCAGGGCGAGGAAGCTGCATGGGGCGCGGCCGGCGGACCAGAGAAGAAGCCGGGCCGTTCCAGGGTGTCTGCGCGCCTCACTCAGCACAGAAGTCAAGTTTCGCCCTGGGCTGGCCCGCTACAAGGCCCCGGAGTGGGGGCTCCCGGAGTCCGGCGCACCCGGCCATCGCCCGGTGCCCGGGGGCGTCCGGGCCGGCCCCTGCCCTCGCCCTCGGTGGTGCTGCCCGCGTCCCCGCTCCTGCTCACCGAGCGGCCGGAGCGGTGGCCGGGGAGGGGGACCGAGCGCGCCGCAGCCCCGCGCCCCCCGCTCACCTCCGCCAGCCTCGCGCGGCTCCGAGGCCGGGGCGCGGGGCCCCGCGGCGTCCTCAGGGGGAGCCCTCGGCCCTCGGCCAGCAGCGCCGTCAGCAGCACGACGCCGAGGAGGAGCCCCGCTCTGCCGGGCAATCGAGGCATCGTCTCCCGCCCGAGGCTGCTCTGCCCGGCGCCTCCGACCCGCTCCAGCGAGTCTGTGCGCGCCCCGCCTCGCCTCCTCCGGGGCAGCAGCGCGCGGGGCTCGCGAGGGGAGCCCGGTGGCCGCGGGGGCGCGCGGCTCGCCGCCCTCTCCTGCCCCAGCTCCGGCGGGGACGCCCGCGCTGCTCTCGGGGTCAGCGTCCGGGATGTCCCCCTCCCTCCCCAGAGGGGTGGCCCCTCGGCGCTCCCGGACCAGCCTTGGCCCCCAGGCGGCTCCCTTTGATCTGGCCGCCTCCCCGCCTTCAGTCCCAACGCGGGAGCCTTCAGATCTTGGGCAAATGTTTATTTATGCCTCGAGGTAGGTTTGCTGGGGGAGGAAGGCCTGGAAGTCACTCCCCCAAGGCTCTTCCAGCTCCGCTGCTGGAGGTGGAGACCAGATGAACACCTGCCAATCTGCGCCCAGTTTCCTCGGGCTGTTCTCAGAGCACTTCAAAAACCAGGAGAGAGTTGAGACTCAGTTGTAAGGATAAAGGCCCAGAAGGACAGCAGCTAGACACGTTTGAGGGAGTGGTCAGAAGATCCTGCCCTGCCACTGGGTGTCTCCTGTTTTATCCTGGATAAAACGGTGGGACCACCCACCCCCTCCAGCCAGACACTCATGCAGGGACCCTCATGTGTAGAAGAACACGCTGGTCATAAATTAAAACCTCAGCTTATGATAAAGATCAGGAACTCTGAGGGGCAGTGACAATTTTAGTGGCCTGCATGTGGGCTATTAGGGAATATGAGTGCAGTGAGACAGTGCAGGTGCCGTGGGGTGTGGTTTGGACAGGTGGGTGAGGAGCAATCAGAGGCATTAGGAAGATGCCTACCCCAGGCCATAGGAGGGAGCACAAAGGCTGTCTAGGTTTCGGGGCAGGGATAGCAGATCCCTGGAGGTGCTGGGGAGGATGACCAGAAAGCCAGCCATAGAGGTAAAACTAGGAATCTGGGTTGAGCCAGAGTGAAACTCTCAGGGTACTGGGCACAGTTCTGAGAAACCAGTGTGTGTGTGTGTGTGTGTGTGTGTGTGTGTGTGTGTGTGTGTGTGTTTGGGGGGGTACCTACCTCACAGGTGTGAGGAGTAAATAAGAATCTATGTTAAGGATTTATATTAGGATGATCTATGTGAAGTTGACATTTTTTGGTCAAAAGGGTCAAATACTGGCAATGTCACATGGTTCAGCCTAATAAGATGCTTGGTACACGGTAAACACACAAATATTAGCCAAAAGAAACCTAGCATTTGAACACATGCTACACCATATTGCTTTTACTGGACTAAATATTCAAGGCCACTTTGTTCTTTAGGAGTTTTTTTTTTTTTTTTTTGGTAAAACTATTTTCACATCCAACGTAATATTTTGTTTTTTCATCAGACTTTTACACCTTCCACCAGATCAAACTAGGAGTTCAAAGATAGAGTTCATTCATTCACGTGTACCTGTCTCCAAGTCAGTCACTACCACTCTACTCTGAGCCCCTCTCGCCCTGACCTGGACAGCTACAATAGCGTCCTGATGGGTCCTGCTGTATCCACTCTTGTTTTCACTCCTTCCCCACATCATGCTGTTGGTTATCTTTTCTTTTTGTAATCTCATTCATTGAGATATAATTTACATACAATAAACACACCTATCTTCCTTGTACAGTTCAATGAGTTTTGACAAATGCGTACATCCAGAGAACCGGCCCCCCCCCATCATGATACAGAACTTTCTCATCACTCCAATTTCCTTCTGTGCACTGTAGGAAAACACTTAGGCTTCAGTGGAAAACAATGCATTATCGGGGCTGGCCCCATGGCTTAGCGGTTAAGTGCGTGCACTCTGCTACTGGTGGCCCAGGTTCGGATCCCGGGCGTGCACCGACGCACCGCTTCTCTGGTCATGCTGAGGCCGCGTCCCACATACAGCAACTAGAAGGATGTGCAACTTTGACATGCAACTATCTGCTGGGGCTTTGGGGAGAAAAAAGGAGGAGGATTGGCAACAGATGTTAGCTCAGAGCCGGTCTTCCTCAGCAAAAAGAGGAGGATTAGCACAGATGTTAGTTCAGGGCTGATCTTCCTCACACACAAAATAAAATAAATAAATAAACTCATTGCTTTAAAAAAAAAAAGAAAACAATGCATTATCTACATACAGTACATCTTTCCCAGTTATCTGATTCTAGTCATTCATTGTCTTTGGCTATTTTACAACTCCGTAGGTTGTAAATAATAGCAAAGCAAAATAATTGTCTACAGAAATGCAAATTCTGTCCTGTTCTGTGGAGGTTCAATTGACCTCCCTCCCCCAGTGTGGAAGAAACCAGTTTTGCCTTTATTTGCACATTCATTTCAATATTCCTGATCTATAAGTGTTTTTCAATATCTCCTTTGAATTGGTTGTAATACCCTTACCAGTTTCCTCATTAAGGAATTAAATAAAATCTTTAACTCATGTTCATTTTTATATCTGTAAGAGAGTCATGATTTTACTGTTTTTTGAAAATTATCTTTTAACAGTCATTGTACAGTTAATTTCCACCTCCCCACCCTTGGCTCTTGGAACCACTGATCTGTTCTCTGTCACCAAAGGTTAGTTTTGCCTCTCTAGAATTTTGTGTCAATGCAATCATATTTGTGTATTCTTTGAGCATGTTTTTAAGATTCATCCGTTACAGCACCTGGTCCCTTTTTACCCGCCACCCAGAAAGCCAATCACCGAGACAACGAGGTTGCAGAGAGAGAGGGTTTAATCACAAGGCAGCCAAGTGAGGAAAACGGGAGAACAAGTCTCAAATCCCCCTTCCCTGAAAATAGGAACTGAGGGGTATTGATGGGGAAGGGGGCAAGGTGGTCTGAAATGATTTGAGGTGAGGAGAGGTGAGGTAATTGATGATCTGCGTGCACAAGCGTAGTCATACCTCTTTCTTCACGCCTCTTGGTAGAACACATGTTCACAGAATGGCGGCATTAGCATGCCCTGAGGGTGGGGTTCCAACCTCTTGCCAAAAGGGCCCAGCTGATGGGTTGGTGGTCTCAATCCGGCCTAAAGTGGACAAGGGGTTCAGTTCCTGAAAAAGTAGCTCAAACACCCATTACCATGGTGACCCTGACTCCAGGGGGATGTTACCTATAGGAATCTAGTAGGAGTTAGATAGCATATTACCTAAACAGCACAATTAACAATGGGTAAGTTTATCATGCAGATTTAAGTCCTCATCTTCTGTTCTGATAAGTTTCTAGGTAAGGCCATCCCCCACTTCTTCCTGGTACAGGGAAGAAGATACCTTTACAGATGGAGATTTGCTTTTCAAATGTAAATGTCTCTCACAAAGGGTAACCAGAACTAAGAATGGGCTTAGCACAGACCCACTCAGACACCGGAGATGTCTATGGTGATGGCCTGTTCTGGGGGCAGGCCTCCCATCCCAAACTCTTTTGGTTAGTTAGTGGGGGTGGGGGCCAAAATGTCATTCAGGCAGAGACATATTTTGAATCGGCAAATTCCAATCCCTCATAGTTACCAGCTGCTTAATCATCATCAATAGCTGTTTGCTGGTTTCACATCTAGTTGAAGGTATCAGTAATTTGTTCCTTTTCATTACTGAGTAGTATTCCATCACGTGACCATCCTACAACTTGTTTATCCATTTGCTGCGATGGCATTTGAAGTGTCTCCAGTTGGAGGCTATTATGAATAAAGCAGCTATGAATATTCAAGTGCAAGTCCTTGTGTGGACATGCTTTCACTTCTCTTGAGTGAATGAAATTGCTCCCCCCAAAACTGCCAAATTGTTTTTTCAAAAAAATGATTGTAGAATTTTGCATTCTCAATCTTTGCCAACACTTGGTATTGTAATTTTTTTTTTTTTTCATGAGGAAGCTCAGCCCTGAGCTAACATTCAGGCCAATCCTCCTCTTTTTGCTGAGGAAGACTGGCCCTGGGCTAACATCTGTGCCCATCTTCCTCCACTTTATATGGGATGCCACCACAGCACAGCTTGACAAGCGGTGCCTTGGTGCGCGCCCGGGATCCAAACTGGCGAACCCTGGGCTGCCGAGGCGGAGCGCTTGCACTTAACCACTGCGCCACCGAGCCAGCCCCTCTACATTTAATTTTTTGAGGCACCACCTCACCATTCTCCCCTTTGCTCACGGAGCATCAACCACACTTTCTTTCAGATCCTCCATTCCTTAGAAGAGTTTTCTCTATCACCCCTGACTAAACCAGATACTGGTTACAATCTTTGATCATGCTCTTTACTTCTCCTTCATTGCACTTAAGTTTGTAAAATATACATGTTCATGTGCTTATTTATTTACTAGGAAGTAGGAACGTATCTCTTTGTTTGCTGCTGTTATTGGTAATGTTCAGTGCAGTCCCTGGCATGGAAATAGCACTCAGTATTTATTGGCTGAATGAATAAAGGCAGACACAGCTTTCTGAATGTTTTATTGGTGGAAAACAATATATTTGCATGGGATGATTCTGAAGTCATATCGAGAAGTTCCCTTCGGTTCTTAACATGCACTCTCAAAACTGACACACTTATCCCAACCTGCTATTGATAGCTTCAGTCATCCAACAAAGTAAAAAAAAAATCACCTGGTAAAAAGGGAGACGGGGGTAAGGGAGAAAGAAAGAGTGACATTTTAACACATGACTAAAATTTTTAAATTTTTATTTACATTCCCCTTTCCTCACTTTCTCAGATTACGTGAGCATTACAGCAACAGAGAGGGGTTATCACAGCACCTCTTGCAAATTCCAGTTTACAGGTTAATTGGTCAGTGGAAAAATACAGGCCAACAAAACAGATCTCAGCTTCCCACAAGCTATTTCTCTGTTCGTATTCTCTCTCTTCCCCCTTTCTGTTAACGTTAGCTACCTTTATACAGAGAGGGATCATCAAGACTGTGTGGGCACGCTGGCTGAATCGACACGGTGACTGCACCAGTATTCTGTGAAGAACCATCAAGGATACTTTTCATCATTCCAACCATTGGTTCAACATCACCGAGTAACAAGACCTAATGTGAAAGGTGAAGACAAGCTACCACTCCACCCAAGTCAGTGACATGCCCCACACTCCACTGGAAGGCCTGGGCCAAGCGACCAAGCTTTGCACAAGAGACTTGAGAATTATATTGGGAAAAGCAGACTCTGAGTTGGCTCAAGGCTCCTTGTGCACCGAAGAGTCCACTCACCACTGCAGACGGCAAGGAGGCAGGACACTGAGCACATCATCAGGGCACTGCTCGTTTTCACCTTTCATTCAACCTCCCCACAACTGCTCTAGAAGAGCAGAGCTTGGGGTATGCCTTCATTAAAAACACAGTAACTGCAGTTTAAGAGCAACTGCGTTCTCTAGGGTCAGTTTATTAGAACTCGTCATACCACAAAGAATCACAGTTGAAGGCCATTTACCGCAGGTACTATGTAGTAAACCAGACCCTGCCCACAGCTCCCCACACCGAGCCACTCCCAAGGGTGGACTGGGTATGTGATACCTCCAGACTCACCAGAGAAGACCAGAATAAACATTTTCAATAAGGGCTCACACCAGCCCCTCTGGTTTCCTCCCCAGAAAAGACTCAATCTATAGCAAAAGACCTCAGAAAACAGAAGTCACTGGAAAAGATAGAAGGGGCAACAACATTTTCTACACAATTAAAAGGCAAGGGATCACTGGCTAGTGCTAGGATTTCTTCTGTATGATAAGGCAGACGCCAGCCTTCTAATTTGGCTATCTGGGCACATGGCAATTGGCTAGGAGCCTGAACACAACATATCATGTGGATAAAGCTGAGGAGAGAATGGGCATGCTTTTCTCCACATGGAAGGTATTCTGACTAACTGGCCTAATGGATGAAGAGGCCTTCTGGGCACTGAGCTTCCATGTTAAGCAGGGAGCAGCACGTCTCTAGGTTCTGGGGCTGCATTTAAGCAACAGCTGCTCAGGAGCCAGGAAGAACCCTGAGTTTCCTAACTGCTTCACAAGGCCTTTGGGCTCTGCTGCTTTCACCTGTGTGAAATGCTCAACGTTCTTGATCTGCATGAAGGCACACAGTTAGAAGGAAACCCATTGCTCACCTCCCTTCTCTAACCACACAGGTTACAGTAGGTAGAGATTAAAACCCATTTTGGCTTGCCTAGAACACCAAGAAAGGAAAGACACACTGGGAATCAGGTCACAGCAATGCTTCATAGAAGAGAACCAGGAGACGGTCAATTGTATTCAACCTTCTCTAGGCGGTTTTGCCACATCCCTACACTTTCTTAAAAAACAAGGATTACCCAGATCCTCTTTCTTCACTGCCTATGGCCTGACTACAAGTTCTGTGCTGCTGCCCAGTCCAGAATGACTACGGGCCAGAGACCCTCGTCAGTTTGCAAAGGGCAGAGGGGGAGAAACAGGAAGGTAGTGGGAGACATCATCACTTTTTCCCCTTCCGTGAGAAGCCAGGAAATCCCTCCACATAAGCCATTCTCCCTCCTGGTCTCCACTCACAAGAAGGAAGTGAAGTGTACTATACACGATAAAATGCAGCTAGACCGTACTAGTCATAAGAAACTTAGGTACAGACTCCCTCAAGTAGGGAAGAAAGAAGTTCCCTGTCCCCTCCTGGAACGTAAGGCTGAGTGGACGAGGTGTCTGGGTATCTGATCTAGTGATATTCCAAACACAGTACCACCACGTACCAGTTTTCTCTGGAGCCAGAATTCTAAAAATCAAGAACTGGAAGGTACAGAAAGAAAAAAAGGCCAAATACAGGAAGGAGGGATTACAGAGACAATCATTGGAAGAATAATCAATTCCTTGGCCTCTGAAAGGACATTAGGCAAACACACAGCCCTTAGTGGTCATGTGGGATATTTCTGTTCACCTTACACGACCACATGAGGAAGAAGCACGTCTGACCATCTGAAATCCTCACCCTATCATGAGAGTTTAAGATAGTGACTAAAGGACCAAGATGTTGAGTTCTTCTAACAAGCAAGCAGTACTTTGGGGTTCTGGAGACCAGAATGTCTTTTAAAGGGAAGAAATTTTCCAAAGCAATGCAAAAAGTTTAAGAAATGCTCCCAAGACCCTGCCCCTGAATGTTCTCCTTCAACACTGACTTGCTCTAGAATATACACCCCATTCTGGGGTAAAGCTTTCACAATAAAGGTGGGAGGAGAACCCACCACTGCCCCTGAATCCATTCTTGGTGTGTGATCTTGACGTGCCCTAGTTATCAATTTCTGGTTTCTGACGTGATCTGCAGAAAAAGGTCTTATAGACCTGAGGGGGATAAAGGCAATGCCAAATAAAGAGAGGGATGGGAAGAAGTGATGAAGATTAGTCACAGCTCTCCTGACGGACTCCAGTGATCAGCTTTGGTGTAAGGGTTAGCTGGCACCATCAGGTTCTTTAATCAGGCTGTGTTAAACCATGTACTAAACAATACTTATCCCTCCCAGATTTCTACTCATTCCCAATGACTGTATTGATATACACTGGTATTTCCCCAAGTGCTTGGTTAAATATGATACATGTGATAGGACTGGACCCTGGATTTATAGTACAGTTTCAAGAAGAGACAACCAGCATGTATAATGCTTGGTCCTCTAGAAAGTAGAGGTCCTGGATAGATCACAGTTTTGTCTCTTCAAAATAAACTTGTAACTTAAGTACATTTATTCTGAATTAACTTTGCATTAGCAAAGTGATATATATATTTTTAAATGCCCACACGAACTGACATTATAAATTGCAGTGACTTCATGCAAACCAAAATAACAAGACTAGCGGATAAGTTCATTGCTTACAGTTTGTGACTCCTGCAAACTCTACCCCATTAAATAGTAACAGCAGGGCAGAAGCTACCTGGTATTCTAATGGGTTCTATGGTGAGGAACTAGATGTGCAGGAAAGGTTAGCAATGTGTTTCATTTTACAGGACTCGTTACTTAGTTGCTACAATCTCTTTTTTTACTTCAACTTGTACATGCTAAATATAGTCCCTGCATCTCTACTTGGATCTTTTACTTACCCTTTTCTGTTCTTTAAAAAAGTAAAATAAAACCTTGGAATATTTTAAGGGCTTAAGACTCTCAGATGCTGAGAGCGACCAAAGATAAAACTTAAGACATGAAAACAAAACTTCACAAACGATAATATTGCTTACACCCTCCACAACATGGATCTGCACACACATACCACAGCTGATACAAGATGCCCAGGGGAACTTGGACTGAGAGTTTTTACCAATAAAAGCAGTGATTTCAAAAATAGAGACGTGCAAAACTACTTTCACTCAATGTTTTTCCATTCTGTTCCCAGTCCTTCCCCTATAATACTTGATGGCTACCAAAAGATAAGCTGATCTTGGGTATAATAAAGTCAAAAGTTTTCTTCACTTAAGCTTTGGTCAACAGAAAAAAAGAACTTTAACATGGTGATTTTCATTTGTTCTTTGGTCAAGCAGCATAAAGCTCTCTGAAAGAAGTCCCCTTACATGGTACGAAACCAGAGTCAAAATAGAGGATCCCAGTTTAGCAAAGAGATACGTGTTCAGAACTCCTCCAGAAAAAAAAGATAATGGAAAGAGAGGGAGATCTGAAGACCCAGACGCCAAGTTAGAATCGTCTTAGGATATCAAGAATTAAAGAGAACTAGCACTCAAGACGAGTTATATTTAAATAGGTCAGCTTCTAAAGAGGGTAAGTTAACAACTTTAATCCTTAAATAGGAACGTGACAAATCATTTCTGAGCAGAGGATTTACCAACATTTTCCTTTATCAGTTTAAATCCTAATCTGGACCCAGACCCAGGCAGAGGCCATCATAATTTTGAAAAGTAGAAAGCAATAAGAACCATACCACGGACATTCTGCAGGTAGTCATCAACTGTTCCACACTGCCTGCCCCGCCCCGCCCGCTCACCTGAGCAGGAGTGCATGGCCCTCCACTGAGCAGCTCTGTACACAGAACGGTGAGGTGGGAGAGTCAGCTTCACCACAGAGGTCTGACCAGGGTGGGATGTGGGTGCTTTTAAAATAATTTACGTGTTTTAAATACGGGGTGGGACTCCTGGCTTAGAGCTTGGGAAGAACCCAGAAATGGGACAAACCCTCAGATGGTGACCATTATGAAGAAATATTTGATGGTGAAGGAAGAAATCAATCTGGTGACCAGAACAAAATGGAACAAGACCAAGCCTCGGGAGGCACCCGGCCAGGGGGAGTTACACAAAGAGGGGGAATTTTAGCCATGCGAGAGTTTACTGTTTTTCTTAAATGGCTAAACTTGAGACTAAACTTAACACTTTGGGTGATTCCTTGACTGGTTCACTAAGGAGTCCAAGGTTGGTGACCTCTGAGACCTGGACTGGAAGTAAGTGGAAGGCACTTGCTCCCTAGGCAGGGGGACACACGAGTCTCAAGGCTGCAGTGCCAGGGCCAGCAGGAGCTTTTGATGGGCCCCAGTCTGCGAGGTGGCTGAGAGAGGGTAATGGCCTGTGTGGTTAGACCGAGTTGGGCTAGGGTCAGCATGATTTCACAATTATCAGATAAAACTTTTTTTTAATGGACAAAAAAGCAAAGCGAGACACTTCTTTCTTTAAAGGTGAAATGGAGCAAGGGAAGAGTATGAAGCAGTTTTCTACTATTTACAAAATGCCATTTTGAGTCGAGGTGGCCACCATCAGTAGTTGAGGGCGTGTCTTTCACATGAGATGGCCACAGAAGTGTTGTTCCTGGAACTGGCTCAGAAAGGGCACACACTGTCCTGGGTGAGGGAGAGTTCCTCTAATGGAGCACCAAAAAGGCTCAGTCTTCTGTTTCTTCATACGTAGTCTCGTCAAAAGGCCTGTCCAGTAGAGGTACCAACCGATGACGAGAATACTTCAGCTGCAATAGGTCCCCAACCTCATCTATCTCCTTTAAAGCCTAAAATATAGAAGACAGGGCAGAGGTTAGTTAGCCAGCAGGATGCAGGCATGCCTGGAGCCTTATTTTTCTAAAATGATCATGGCAAGGTTGTCCTTTGATGGGACAGTTCACGTCTCGCCACTTACTCTGCTCAGACTACAGTACAGCTGTGCACTGAGCTGCTCTTTGAGCAAGGCCGTCAGGCGGATCATGCAGAATGGGTTGTGAATAGCAGGCATGCAGGATAACGGGTATAATTCATCAAAGTAGGATATGCTTGGTTGAAAAAGGAATACACACCCAAACTTGCCAGGCGGGCTATAATTTGTCGTCTCCCCTTTTTTACTTCAGTACTTGCTCTTTCTATTATCACACTACCAGAAAATGAATGAGAAGTCTGCGCTGAGATGCTTCCTAGATGCAAGATGAAGAGAGTCCCCAGAGTGGGCTGCTGCGCAGACTTAGTGAGAAAAAGTGGAAGCCGCTAGGAGAATACCCTTGGGAGGTAACGGACCGAGTGTGGAGAAGGGAGCAAGGGAAGCGCAGAGCCGGGATTTAAACTCCAAAATCCTAACCTTGAGATATTACCTTGTCTTCCCATCAAAACTCTAATTATCTCTGTATAACTTTCTTTCTTTTCTGTAAAACTTGCTCTTGTATTTTTCAAAGAAAATGTAAGTTTCTTATAAAAAATTCAAACACTAGGACAAGTTATGAAATGAAGTCTCTTTCTGATTGCTACACTAGTCCTACCTGGTAGAGGTAATCCATGTATGTTTTCTTATATGTATTAAACTATAACATACATACAGCAAAGTACATGAATCATAGTTCACAGAGTTAACCTTTCCAAAAAGTAGCACACAGAAGTCAGAACAGAGGATCCCAATATAAGAAAGAGATATATATTCAGAATTTCTCAGAAAAAATTTAATGGAAGGAAAAGGAAACTCTAAGCCCCAGATACCTCTCAGAGAAATCCAAGGAAAACAGCAAAAATTTTGGACTCCTTAGGTTCTAAGTCTTTCTAATAAAAGCACCCAGCACAGGTCACAGAATGCAGTTTTCAATTCCTGGCAGCTTTGCAGCCCTGCTACTCACTCCCCAAGCACCTGTGGATGTTACCTGGTGGATCTAATAACAAATCTGGAGTGAATGGGACTCAGCTTTGGAGACAATGGCTCCATCTATGACACCATCTCATTAGACTGAGACGGTGACACGGGCAGTAGAAGCCCTGTAACTGAGTGTGACTCTCCAAATTTCCACCACATCCTATCAATCTTCTGTCTACTCTTTTGGCTATAACTCCATATGAAAAGGCACACCTTCTATTTCAGAAAAGGCAATCAGTTGATTATTAGTAAAAAGACTCATTTACCTGTTACTAAATTTAACTTTTAAAAATCAGTATTTGTAGAGAGAAAAAACCACCAATAAATAGTATTCCTTATTTATTTTAGCATTAGAAAAAAATATTCTCCACTCCAAATATGAAAAATACAAAAAGCAAATAAGAGCTGGACTTCAATATGCTATCAGAACAGTGGTACCTTTGAGAAGCGATTTAATTGAAAGCTCCATATGGAAACAATTTAAGATTGAATTTCAGCTGAGAGAAACCATTAACCATTTATTCCCCTGACCTCTCATATAGGACTTATTAATTTAAAACAACACATGACTTATTAAAATCACGAAGTATAGGACATTTATGAACTTTGACTTCAGAAGAATATTTTTTCAATGTAAAAAGAAAATGAATAGGGACAGAAAAAAACCCACAGTAGCCCAAAGGGATCTAGATTACAAGATTTCCTCATCTCATAACAAATATTTCAGATGAAAAGGTTTTATTTACATAAAAGATAAAATTGTAACTAGAAACTGCTGGCCATTATGTGGGGTTACCTGGTTAAATTAGGAATAAGGAACCATTACAAGTATCAGCATTTGTTAACAAATAGTCTATACTAAACTTCTGGATCACAGGGTAAGATGGGTTCTCAGGAAAAAAAAAAGTGTTAATTATAGGGGTGAGTATGGTCCTTGCATAAGAGAATATTCTAGGACAGCTATGCCCCTGAGCCAATAACAGCTTTACTGAGATACAACTCACATGCCACAAAATTTATCTTTTTAAAGTGTATAATTCAGTGCTGCTTAACATATTCACAGAGTTGGAGAACTTTTATCACTATTCAGTTTTAAAGCGTTATCACCTCAAAAAAGAACCCCATTCCCATAACTTCATTCCTCCCTCCCCACAGGCCCTGACAACCACCAATCTATTTTCTGACTCTATGGATTTGCCTATTCTGGACATTTCATAAAAATGTGGTCTTTTGTGTCTGGCTTCTTTCACTTAGCACAATGTTTTCAAGGTTCATCCATGTTGTAAGGGTCCAACTGCATTCTTTTGCATGTGGTTATCCAGTTGTCCAGCACCATTTGTTGAAAAGACTATCCTTTCCCCATTAACTAATCTTGGCTCCCTTACTGAAAATCAATTGGCCAAAGATGCTTGGGTTTATTTTGGACTCTCAATTCTATTCCATTGGTCTATATGTCTATCTTTATGCTAGTACCCCACTGTTTTAATTACTGTAGCTTTGTAGTAAGTTTTAAAATCAGGAAGTTTAAATCCTCCAACTTTGATTTTCTTTCTCAATACTGTTTTGGCTCTCTGGGTCCCCTTACAGTTCCATATGAATTTGAGGACCAGCTTTTCCATTTCTGTAAAAAAGGCCATTGGAATTTTGATAGGGATTGCACCGGATCTATAGATCTC